TGCAAAAAAAAAAAAAAAAAAAAAAAAAAAAGCCAAATTCCTGGCTGAGCATGGCGGTGCAAGACCCCTCCCCCCCAAAAAACAAAACAAAACAAAAAACCCAAAAGTCGATATCCTAGAGGAACACAACATCCATGAGGTTGGCCTGCCTGATGGAGTCTACAGTAGGGGACCCTCCCTCCATGTAGGCATGCCACATTTAACACTTAGAAAAAGCTGGCAATCTGGTTTGTATACGTGATATCAGTTTGAAATGTTGATGAGACATTCAAATTAAAGATAAAAGCAAGGCTAGCGCTAGTGAGGCTCTGGGTTTAATCTCTAGCACTGCAGACAGCAACAGCAAGACACCTGAAAGCAAAGCTATGTGAGCCAAACAAACTCTATTTGGAGGTTTTCAGCTTGTGACATCTCACTAGGAAATGGCAGCTTGGTTTTGGAAGCCCCTGGGAAAGCTCAAGTCTAAGGGCCAAATCAGTGGCCCTGCCCTCTCTTCCCTTTCTTAGTGACAGCATCCACTACCAGATGGTGTATTCCTATGGCTCCGGGGTGGTGTGGGCCCTTGGCATTGTTCCCTTCAGCCACGTGAACATCGTCAAGTTTAATGTGGAGGACGGAGAGATTGTCCAGCAGGTACAGAGGGCGTTGGGCTCCCGGTGGGGGGAAGGAGTTGGTGCAGGCCTTCTTTGCACGGGGGCTTGTCTCCTGCTGCTGGCTCATCTTCAGCAGGTGTTAAAGTACTCTGTTAACACATAGTGCTCCTCTCTAGACTGGCTGGGAAGCTACTCTGATCTAGTCGCTGTCTCTTTAAGATCTTCTAAGGTGAATATGAAAAGATTACAGGGAGCCACATCTGATGCCCCTCTGAGCCATCAGGCATCTACTGTTATTGGGTGCATTTTCCCAGTGACCAAAAAGAAACTCCCGCGTACTTCTGGTTTGGAGGTTGGTAGAGGTGGCTGAGGACAAGAAGAGCCTCTGTGGAACTAGACCTGCTCTGCTCTGCTCTTCTCTTCTCTTCTCTTTCTTTCTTTCTTTCCTTCCTTCCCCTCCCTCCCTCCCTCCCTCCCTCCTTCCCTCCCTCTCTCTCTCTC